AAAGAGGAAATATATGCATTTGCAGAGGAGCATGCCAGCACCACGTGGCTTCTAATAATTCTTCCAATTATGCTACGGTTGTAACCAGTTTTTGCAGTTCCTCCCAACAAACAGCAGGTCCTCTTGACTACTGCGCTCTCATAATGAAGTGGTGCCCTATAAACTGCCTCAAATCCCTTCCAAGGTCAGTTAGAACAGATTTTAGGAATAGAAGTTGGGCAGGTAGGGCAGCACTGCAGAAGTCTCCCCTGAACACAGCTCCATGTAAAGGCATTCAGGCTCCTAAAAAGGTTGCAGGTGCATTAAGTGTACTGAGCTGAAAACAAGCTGGAAGTGTCACTTTAAATGCCTTCAACTGAGAAGGCAAACAAAAAGAAAATGAAGACACTGCTGCGAAAGAGTCCCCCTGCAATCCTACCAGAGTCTTAACAACTGAGCTCCTGCTGTCAAGAGAAAGGCTAAGTGAGAGGGAAAGTAACACGGTGGCATAAAGCAGCAATGCAACAAAGAGCTGTTATAACACAAGGAAGATCTCCATCAAGAAGGCAAAGTGTGGGAGATTAGCGTGCTAGATCGTGGATTTCAGAAATGCAAGCAACATCCTAGAGCTGTAAGGCAAGGTTTTATCACACAGAAATCATTAGCAAGCCAGGTCATTTTAGAACCTGTCTGACTGCTAGGAAAAGAGAAACTGACTTTGATTTAAAAAGGTAATACCCTACCTTGACTTGTGTTAGAAAAGTATATGGGAGAAAGAAGCCAGAATGAGGGACGATGATGGTAAAGAGATTAAAAAAAAAAAAAGCTAACTGACATACACACTGGAGTTGGTGATAACCATTTAATTTTCAATAGACTAGAAACAGGAAGGATTAAACACACTGAATGCATGACAAAACACTGGTCAACATGCCAAAAGAGGTCACTTCTGTCAGTTCTGACAGTTCCCGTCTTTCCAGTCAAGGGCTCTTGGCTGGGACATGGAGAAGGAACACTCTGAAGCTACAACAGTTTCACAAGTCAAGAATCAGGAAAATCAAAACCAGACAAATAGCATAACATAGAGGTCAAGAGATTACATTAGACAAATCTGGATTAGAAACACAGTATGTATTTAGCAGTGGAGACGAGTGTTCTGCAGCAAACAATGCAGAATTTTTCTTTTCAAGTTGGAGTTAAATGTCTTTACTAAAACATACACTGAGACTGGGATTAACATGGGGACATCAAGGACCATGCCAGTCAGGGGACTGCATCAGATGATCCAAATTGTACTTTACAGCTTCATTAATCACTAACAAGGAAGGAAGGTATTTACATTTTTTACTACAGTGGGCAAGGAAAGGAGTGAACCAAAGACAATAATTCATTTTAAATTCAAAGTCACATCTACTCTTAAGTTGACTCTGCTTTTGAGAACACAAAAAGACCCATCCTCCAGCCCAAGTAAACTATTTCTCACAAGGCAATTGTTCTTTCACCTCTTACTCTAAATCAACTGCATTGCTCTCAGAGCCTATTTGCAGTTTCTTACCCATTTTTCCCACTGCAAGAAGTGGAGAGTTGCAGCTCTTAAAGCCATCAATAGCTTTTGCAGAAAGAAAAACAGCTTTGGAGCTCAAGCTTACACACTTCAAATGCTATCACTACCATCGAATTGGATACCTCATATTTCAAGCAGTCCTAGACGAGAAAAATCAGAGGCCTATATCAAATGAGACCAGAGCAGTAACCTGGTTAACCTCAGCAGGCAAATTCCCCTGCTGGGAGTCTCCAGGAGCAGAGACACAGGATTGTTGTGAAATGTGTGGCTGGGGGCTAACGGAGGTTCTCTTTCTCAAGTACCTTCAAAACCTGTCAGTAATGGATCCTCCCCCATAGAAAAGATCCCAAGCAACCTGACGGTAAACACTGACTAAATTTTTTCAGAGCATTAAGTCAACATTAAGTGATGAATCACCAGCCTAGAAAGCTCTTTAATCAACAAAATTGAGACCCTGCAATGCTGATAGCATTTTGCGCTGAGTGAAGTCCGTGGCACTCAAGCACGCTACCTTAGCACTGATGCGTGGAAGATGTGAAGTGTAGCCAAGAAAGATGTACCACATTAAGTATGTTTTCCCTTTTTCTCTTAATAAATGTAACACTGTAGAAAAGGCTTGTGTCACCAATCAGCCAGTATCAGATTCATTCTCACAGCATACGTTTGTTTTGCAAACCCAAATTACTTGGAGACTATGAAGCAGATGCTGCCCTCAAAGTACCATGAGAATTTATGCAAACACACTAGTTTTGGGTTTTGATTTTTGTGTTGTGTTGGGGTGTTTTTGTTTTTTTTTTCACGAATGCATGATGTTTACACCTAGAGGCATTTTCTTCTCTAAGTGTTCTCCTCTATTCAAACAAGGGAGCGCTTCTTGTAACTATTGCTTATTCTAAGATGATAAAACCAAGGCACTGTCCACAGCTCATTTTGAGCATGGTCCCCATCATCCTTCCCATTCAGAGATACCCATTTTCCAGCTCTTTCAAGGTATCCAGAAGGGCTCTTCTAGATCTTAGCACAAGGACTTGCTCTACAGACAAGTCACTAGTCACCTGGTTCCTGAAGCATTTGAAATTGTGTTCAGGTTATTGTAAATTCCGTAACAGTGTAGCAAGACTGAAAGCTGTCATTTAGAGAGCTATATAGTAAACCAGAGATCACACTCAGATTAAGGCAGGGCGTCATGCTCTAAACTGAGTGGACTTTGATCAGAATCCCCCAAGGAAAGTAGCCTGGTACTACTGACCAGAAGAATCTCAGCAAGCCCACTGTATTCTTTGACACAGGGAGCGGTTTCAAAATATTCCTTCTAGGAGATGTGAATTGTAAAATAAAAATGAGGGGAAACCCACCAAATTCCACTCAGGCCATCATCTACTCTACCTCCTTTGACTACAGCATAGATAGAAGAAATAGTTGGGACGATTCTGAGAACCTACAGAAGGAAAGAAAAATGAAAATTTAGCTAAATATTCACTGTAATGTCAATTCTCATACTTCAGTATGTGTTAAGCACAAATAAAAGCAAAAGAAAATGTTCTGTAATTACTAAAATTTGGTATTAAGTAAACAATCCTGAAAACTGCTGGTTTACAGGATCAAAGATGACAAGATAGATTTTTACCTTTCATAAATTCATTCTGAAGTTCAGGATCCTTAAATCTAACACATTTGAAGATTTGTATCAGGACAAGGGGTAATGGATTTAAACTAAAACAGGGTAGGGTGAGACTAGATATAAGGAAGAAATTCTTTACAATCAGGGTGGTGAAACACTGGAACAGGTTGCCCAGAGAGGTAGTGGAGGTCCCATCCCTGGAAACATTCAAGGACAGGTTGGATGGGGCTCTGAGCAACTTGATCTAGTTAGCGGTATCCCTGCTCACTGCAGGGGGGTTGGACTAGATGACCTCTAGGGGTCCCTTCCAACCAAAAACATTCTATGATTCTATAAAACTAAGATGGCACTCTTGGGCGGGGCAGGGGGGGAATTCCTCTAGCCTGTTTGTACACTTGCATTATACACTGGAACAGTCATAATCCAGTGAAAGGTCAAAATTGATAGGAAACCAACAAAATTGACTAAATACAGCACATATTTATAATTTGCAGAATTTACGTAAGTTTTTTAAATCCTCTGTTGTGAGCTTCCTCAAAACCTTCTTTAAGCAGGTTGTATACATTATAAAGTCTCTATTTGACATGAACCCCTATTTAATTTTAATCTGTTCCAGGTGAACTTTAAACATTCAGTAATTATAAAATTTATGGATTTGAGTGGCCAGTGTCTTTTCAAAGGACATTCAGCATCTCTGACAAGTTTGACAAGTTTTAAGGTTTAAAAGTAAACAAAGGAGCCTAGTATGTCAAATACCTACAAAATATCCATTTTCCTTCCCACATTTGCAATTCCACCTTCACCCCATAATTCCCATAGACTTGCTATCCTATTTTCTTACTTGGTCACCAATAAAAAAAATACACTGCTTAGACAGACTAGACTTCAATTTATGTCACAGTGTATTTTCAGTATTGGTTTCCTGCCCTCTTTTTACCCGATCCTTATGAAACAGCCTCAGACTCCCAGAAGCAGCTCTGCCCTGAATACCGCAATTCTGCTTAACTGGACAGACAGCAGTCATTTCCTGAGCTAGGGAATTCTGAAAGGGCTACTAGGTAAACTACAGCATTCCCCTAAAATGCATAAACACATTATAGAAATAAGCGTTATTTCCATAGGACTATTGTTAATAGTATTCATAATAGTATCAGTAAACTATTACAACTCTGCTAAAAAGTTACAAAAACTGATATAAATCAGACAAAATTCAGTTTCTCTTCAGATACAGTATGCCTAATCCCATCCCGCTACCCCCTAAAGAATTAAAGCATGTGACTCAAATGTAAATTTAGGAAGGTAAAGTATGAAAGTTATATTTAAACAACTAAGCAGGGAAAATTTGAGAAGTAGTCAGATTTTTAAACTTAATCTTTTTTAGCAAAGTATTACCACAAACAGTGGTAAATTCCTCTCCAGGCTCCTGACTTAATCTTCTCTGGATTGCAATGTATAAGCCCTCCTTTGTTGGCTGCAGTATTTCAACCCCTGCTGATGTGTCAAAAACTGTGAATGTTAGGCAAAATACAAGTATGTTGCATTGTATCACATTTTTTCCCTTTTTCTCTTCTCTAGAAGATGACAACAGATATGATAGAGAGCAATAACGCCAAATCCAGTGCTCCCCTCCTGACCCAAAGATACCTGAGGATGGTGACCAAAGATGGACACAGCACATTCCAGATGGATGGTGCTCAAGGAAAAGGTCTGGCATACCTCCGAGATGCATGGGGAATATTAATGGACATGCGCTGGAGATGGATGATGCTTGTCTTTTCTGCTTCTTTTGTCATTCACTGGCTAGTCTTTGCAGTGCTTTGGTATTTGCTGGCTGAGATGAATGGGGACCTGGAGCTGGACCATGATGCTCCACCTGACAACCATACTATATGTGTCAAGTACATCACCAGTTTTACAGCTGCTTTCTCCTTCTCATTGGAGACGCAACTCACAATTGGTTACGGCACTATGTTCCCAAGCGGGGACTGTCCCAGTGCTATTGCACTGCTTGCAATACAGATGGTCCTGGGGCTCATGCTGGAAGCCTTCATCACAGGTAATCCTTCATATTTAATCTTTAAATAGAATAGGTGTAACAATTAGATTTAAGAAATGGAGCTAGAAATAGTGATCATATAGATATCTGAAAGAACAATTAAGTCAAGTCACTGCAAGGATGATGAGATTTCAGCTATGTAGTAGTAAAAATTAAATGCCTTTTATTAACAAAATACATAAATTAGGTGATAACAAGATTTAAGACTTGAGAGTTCCACTATTCATTGGATGATATTTGTGGCAGATCACCACTTATCACTCTCAATCACTCATTTCTTATACCATTACCTCTCCAATTTTTTTTCCACGGAATTAGAAAATTTAGTCAATTTGTTTTGATTTTAAGGTTTACTATTGTCTAGCTGAAGTATTTTTGTTGATCTTTAACTGTTTAAATATTCCTCAGTACCTGATGCAATGAAAATTTTTACAATGTCACAGCTATTTCGAGGTATTTCAAGTTATTTAAAATAACGTTTAGGTTTCAAATATTTCAAAAGACTTTAAAAATACACAGGTTAGTTTACTGCATATTAAGAAAGAGCTTCTCCAGTGGTAGCACACCAAGATCAGGTACTATTACCAATTACAGTAATTGGGGGGAAAGCTAATTGCTTTCCTTCCTACAGCAACAGTTCACTCTCCAAATATTAAGTGAACATAGTTTAGAAAAAGAAGCATTTTAGGAAAGCTATACATTTTAAACAAAAATGGGTTAGTGTGATGCCAGCCTAGCAGTTTTCACGCAAGCTGAGGCTAGAAAGACCATGTCCACCCAAGCCTGCTTCTGTTCCTTTGGAGTGTTTCACAGAGCTTGGAGGCTGCAGGGAACCAATCCAGGTACAGTGCTCTTACTCAGTTTGTTCTTTTCCATGATGCAGGTGCTTTCGTGGCAAAGATCGCCCGACCAAAGAATCGGGCATTCTCCATCCGCTTCACCCACTCTGCCGTAGTGACACACACTGAGGGGAAGCCATACCTTATGTTCCAGGTGGCCAACACACGCTCCAGCCCACTGACTAGCGTCCAGATTTCTGCTATACTTTACCAAGAACAAGAGAATGGGCAGCTGCACCAAACTAGTGTGGACTTCCACCTAGACAGCATAACTGCGGATCAGTGTCCTTTTTTCATCTTTCCACTGACCTACTACCATTCAATCACTCCATCCAGCCCCCTGGCTGCTCTCCTCCAAAGAGAAGCTGCTCACCATTTTGAGCTGGTCGTCTTTCTGTCAGCCATGCAGGAGGGCACAGGAGAAACGTGTCAAAGGAGAACATCCTACCTCCCCTCAGAGATCATGCTGCACTATCGCTTTGCCCCCGTGCTAGCCCGCAATGCCAAAGGTGAATATCAGATCAAGATGGAGAATTTTGACAAGATTTTTCCTGAGCTCCCAGCCGCGGCTGACTCAAAGAGTCCAAAAAGGACTGACAAGGAGATCCGCATCAATGGACAGCACAGTGACAGCTTCCAGCTCTCTGAGACTGGCCTCACAGAATAAAGAGGACAGACTTTGAACTTTGTGCTTTTTTAATTATTGTTACATCAAACTTTCAGGTTCCATTTACAACCTTCCTTCCTTGCCCACCCTGCCATCTTCTAGTGATCTTTCTCTTGTACTCCCATCCTTCTGATTACAACACGATATGCAGAGTAAAGAGAACTGGTGTGACAATGTAAGCCGAGGAGAGGTTGCCTTGCCCACCCAGGATAAAGTTGGTACAAGAATCACAGTACTAATTCTTGGAAATTAAAAGAGCTACCTGCTGCATTCACCAGACTATGATTAAAGCCGCACTGACCCTGAAAGAAGACACCTTCAAAACTCCCAAAGCTGACCAAAATCATGATTAAACAGCTTGTGACAAAATGGACAATAATACAATAGAAGAATCTCAGTCAAAACTGATATGGGGTCATTCAGTAAATACATTAGTTCTGGGATTAGCAACTCCCTTCATCCAAGATCCTGATTTTTCTGTTCTCTTAACTCTTTGGGGATACAGAGTTATATCAGTTTTCAGATGGCTGAATTCACTCTGCCAATCTCTCATGGCAGTGAAAAAGCACTCCTGCTGTGCTTATTAAGCAAATTTATAAATACTAACTGTAGTTCATCATTCTGCCAAATAAGAGAACTTCTCATTTCAAGACAGGTCTATGAAGACACTATCAAAAAAATCTTAACACATATGACAATTGCTGCAGTAGGAATTTTTTCATATTTGGAAACACTGAATAAATTATTTAGCAGTGGAAAACTGACTATTCTAAATGAATTAATGTACTTTTTTTTAAAAAAAGACCATACATTCCACATGTTCTCATCTTTGCGCTGCTCGTCTCAAGTAGATCTGACCCAGAAGGATGCACTATATACAAGAAAAGTAGAACTGCATCCATTTATATTTTACGCTTTTTAACATCAATATTTGCCTGTACACACAGCACAAAAATATTTAGAGACACTTGAATCATTTTTAAAATAAAAAATTAAAACAAACTATACATGAGACTTCTGTATTTAAGTGCCTCATAAACCTACTGCAATTAAGACACTGTTCTGAAGCTCCTAAATAATTTAAGAAGCTAAAGCATAAGCAGAATGATAAATTATTTCTCAACAAAAGCAGTGCCTATTACGTGTTCATACTTGAACAGTCAAGTATCAAAATAAAGCAAAAGTTATCTTTCAAATGTAAAAGGCTTTTCCCAGAAACCAAGATGGCATAAATAGCAACTGTCATTGACAGCAGCATAATACACTACCAAATGTGCTTCCTTTTAATTTCACTGAAGTGGTCAGCAGCAGGAAAAATGGTCTCAAGCTATCTGATGAGACGCTGTTTAACTGAATTCTTCTCAAGCTCCAGAACTCTGTTAACTGAAGTGCATTCACAACCCGAAAGAGGTTAGCAAAAAGCTACTTTGCTTTAGAGTCTGAGGAAGTGGGAAGCACCCCCACAGAAGCATTTCACACAGGGAAGGTGAACAAGGCAGAAGGCCCATGATTTCATTGCAATTCATCTCTCATTCCAAAATTTTTCAAGTATTGCCTCCCCACATTCCAGACCTCAGACAGATTTGGTTTTATCACAGATACTCTCAAAATCTCTTTTCTAAAATTTAATTTTATGTAAAAGCATTCATGAATATTGTGGAGCTTGGAGAGCAACACACTATCAAGTTACATTGCCTTCATCCCTACTTTTCTTAGCTGTTGACCCATATGCAGGCTAAAGATCCCTTTTCCACCCTCATATCAGTACCAATAATTTTTAAGTATTTCTTGCAAGTGTTACTTCCACATCCTCTACCAATATAAGACATTGGGAAGAGTCCTACAAACTAAGAGCCAGTACAAGAGCAGTAGAACAGATTCCTGTGTCAAGTCTGAAATAACAGTTTAGAAAAAAAGCAGTATTCTGTGGGAGGTATTGTTTACCATATATCACATACTCCAGCCTCAGACAAACAAACCATTCTAAAATTCAGATGCATAATCCCAACAGGACAGTACTATAATCTCACTATTTAGAGTCAAAGCTATAAAAAGCTACTTTAATTTCAATTAACATCTAAACAGAGCATGGGCTGCTTTGTTTAGTTTCTAAATGACTCAATACTTCAAAGTTGTCCTGTTTTTAAAATAATTTTCTATTTATCAATTTGGTTTAAAAGGGAGAACAACAGCAAGTATAGAGAAAAAATATCTTTAGTATACACTAAATGCAACCTTCAAATATTACATTTTGGAATGTAAAGCTGAAGAATACCACAGAAGCAAGTTAGACAAACAGAAGCGTGTGGTTACTTCAGAACAGCTGCAGAACAAGAGGTAGACAAAACGCCCCTACTGCTTTTACAATTCCAGAGAACTGGTGAACCATAGATGTCTGATAAAGTATTGGAAATATGCCATGGCCCAAATTGGAATACAAGCCTAAAAAAATTGCTGGTGGGCTATGATGCAACAAAATTGCACTCTATGCTTTGAGTAACACTGCAAGAGCAAACTGGTGATGAACCTTCTCTGGATGTACTTCTTGCTAG